TGTAAAAAAAACAAACAAGCAAAAAACACGAACAAACTTGCAATTAAAAAATATAGAGACATGGCCAAACAATCAACTAGCCCCATAGAGAGCAAGAGCATGACAATTTATGAACCAGAGAGAGAGCGATGAAGAGTTATTGTTCGTAAGTGAGTCACAAAACTGTGTTTACAAATCAGTAACACAAAAGAAAGCATACAATAATAATAAAACAAATAAAGTAACAAAACTACAACAACAACAAGAAAAATACACACGAGTAAATACAAAACAAAAATATTGTACATTTAAATTTTTTTTAATGAGACAGTAACAACAATAAAAGCAATGACATTAATGAAAAAGTTGCAAGTCACAGATATTTTCTGGTGACAATTGTAATTGAGATTTTAATTTTAGACGAAGAAAAAAAAAACAAATCAGGATAAGAGGTTGCCATGTCTTTAGAAAAGCGACACAGAAATAATGGAGGAATTTGGAAAATGATCTATGGCAATACATATGGTGTGTTCCCGTACTGAAAAAATGTGGTAAAATTGATTTAATTAAAAATTAAATAAATTAAGGGAATTGTTCGTTGAGTTGGGAGTCCACTAGGAGCACGATCCCAGCACGATCTATTGACTATTTCCTCAATAGCGACACAAATTATTTCGTTAAGTTGGGCGCCACCACCATCATCATCTTCCTAATACTATGAATATTATTCTTAACCATCACAAAATGTCAGACAGTTGGGCGCCATCACGATCACGCTTTCAGGACCATATTTGTTTAATGAAATTTTGCATTGCCAAGCAAATCGCAAAATGGATATGCTTTCAGATTAAATTATTGTCTTGAGTTGGGCGCCACTACCAGCACGGTCCCAAGACTATGTATAGTTTACATTACTAATCATCACAAAGAGCCAGACATTTGCCAGCCATTATGAAATTTTAAATTAAGAAGCAAATCGCCAAATTACTGACCTAAGTCCTCGATAGCCTCAAGAACTCGTTCGTTTCGTTGGGCCCCACCATGATCACGATTTCAGGGCTAAATTTTTTTTCATGATTGTTTTTTTTTTCATTACTAACCAAATAGCAAAATGACTGACCTAAGTCCTTGATAGCCTCAAGAACTCGTTGGGCGCCACCACGATCACGGTTTCAGCACTAACTTTTGTTCATGATTTTTTTTTTTCCATTACTAACCAAATCCCAAAATTACTGCCCTATGTCCTCGTCTATGTCTCCCAAATTCCTACGCTGCGTTGGGCGCCATTACAAGCATGGTCCGAAATCTATGAATATTTTGCAGACAGTTGCGAGCCATCATGAAATTTTATATTAACAAGCAAATCGCAAAATGACTGGCATAAGTCCTTGTTAGCCTCATTTCGTTGGGCGCCACCACGATCAAGGTTTCAAGACTAAATTTTTTCATGATATTTTTTTGTTTCATTACTAATCAAATCGCAAAATGAGAGCCCTATGTCCTCGCATATGCCTAACAAATTCTTTCGTTGCGTTGGGCGCCATTACAAGCACGGTCTGAAAATTATGAATATTTTGCATTATTAACCAATGTGTCAGACAGTTGGGCGCCATCTATATTTTATTCATGGAATTTTGCATTAGCAACAAATTGCAGAATGAATGTCCTACCATGTCCATATCCTCTTGAATTTGTTTGTTGCGTTGGGCGCCATTACGAGCACGATCACAGGACTATGCGTATTGTTAATTATTAATAATCACAAAGTGAATTTCCTAGTGTCGTACAGTTGGGCGCCACTACGAGGTGCACGCTCCCTGGACTATAAATATGTTATCTTCCATCGCAAAGTGAGTGTCCCAACTGCTGATTTTTTTCTTTACTAACAATATCGCAAAATGTTGGGCGCCACTACGAGCACGCTTTCAGAACTATATTCTTTTCGTGAAATTTTGCATTACCAACCAAATCGTAAAGTGGCTGCCCTTTGTCCTCGATGACGTCATGAATTCTTTCGCTGAGTTACTAATTAGCCCGTATGATAATACCAATCGCAAAAACAAAATAAAAATATTGTTAACATGCGTCCTTTACGACATCGGCTTAACTTTGCTTGTCTATAGCTCCGTTCCACAACCTAAAAGAATCTACTAATTTTACAAGTTTTGCAACTTTTCCCTCGAAACCCATTCCTTAACCCACAAAACTAGTAACACTTTGAACTTTTTTAACTTGTGGGTCCTGGTTCCCAATATAATAATGAAAGAGGTCTACTGAGAGCATTGTAGTGTCATATCAACCGGTTTTGGTAGATAAGAACACCTATTCTGTAGAAGAAGTAATTATGTGCAGGACGGTGATTCACAATTCCAAATTCGTGAGAGAATATCTTTGTAAGCAAAATTTTCAATTAACGAAGTGGCCAGCACAAAGTCCCGAACTCTGTTCGAAAGATAATTTCGGGCCAATCGTAAAGAGGGAAGTGGGACTGATTGGTAGCAGTACCAATAATTTAGACGAACTTTGACATTATTGGAAGAATATTTCAAACGAAATTGTACTAAAATTTGTTAAAAATATGCCAAATTGCATAAATGACACATTAAAAAAATAAAACTACGGCAAAAGTAAAAAAAAAATTTTCGTATTCTGAAATTTTTTCAAACGTGCAAAAGTGAGTTCATGGAAGTTGATTTAGTTTTCCTTATTTTTTTTTTCTTAGAAATCTTAGATTTACATTTTTAAATTTTGAATTTACTTTTATACTTTTATTTTTATACGTAAAAAGTGTCCAAGGTATCAACATGTACTCGCTTCTGCTCGCTACTGTATATATATATATATTTTTTTTTTTTTAATTTTTTGCCCATTAGTATATTAACTCAACTTACTTGCCTAGTGTAAACCCTGGGTTATATATAGAAAAAACATATAATACTTATTAGCCAGTATGAAAATACCAACCACACGTTTTTTTATTTAATTTTTTTCTTACCTAATTATCTCATAAACTCAACTTTTTTGCCTAGTGTAAACACCAGGTTATATAAAAAAATACACCTATTATTTCCCATTTTAAAAATATTCTATTAAATTAGACTTTAGTATTTAATTATATTCTTTATTCTATTCTTTTGTAAATTCCTCTGTATGTGGCAACCCCAAAAACCCGCATTCTCCTTCTATTACTGTCATATAAACAAATGTGTGTGTGTGTCTTATGTGCAGACATGAGATGTTATCTTGTCGTTTTTGTTTTGTTTTCTTCTACTTCACTTATATATTTTTTTTTTGCACTAAACAACGTGGATTTTTTGTTTGGTTTTGTTTATGATGATTTGTTTGTGTCCTCTCTGTGCGTGTGAGTGTGTGTGAAAGAATTTTGTGAGAGCTCTAAGAAGAGAGATAGTAGCACTATTTTTTTCATTTTTCTTTTTATGTTACTCTCAGTGGTAAACAAAACAGACACAAACATGCACATATAGTCGATGAATGGAATAGTTGTGTTATTTTTTTGGTGGGTGGGGGGAGACCGAGAGAGTTATATAGCGGCAAAAACAAATCGTAGACTCTACGTCGTAGAGCGCCTCGTTGAGTCTACGACTGTGTTAAACGAGTCGCTGCTCTGCCTGTTCCTGCTCTATGATTTGTTTTTACCGTACGACGTAGAGAGAGAGTGAGAGTATTATTGAATTGTATTTGGGTGGGAGAGTTTGTTGTTTATTTTTGGGGTATGTGAGTGAGATTACTGCTGTTTTGTGTGTTCGTTCATGCTGGTTATTTGTGGGCCAACCAAAACAATAACAAAAAACAGAGAAAATACTACTGAGCCACTCAGCGCTCACAAATGAAAAATCCCAATAGTCCCCAAACAAAAACAAAATACATATCTCAAATATAACTCATCATATATTAACAATACCGTCATGCACAGCACACCGACCGACCAGCAGACAATAATAACAAAAACAAGCACAGACAGGCACAAGCACTACTACTAAATCAAACAACCAGTCATACGTCCATCCATCCAATCGCCGCTAAATGCCGTAGCCGTCGTCGTTGTTGTTTGGCGTCTCCGACAGAATGTGAATTGAAAATTGTTATTGTTGTTATTGTTATTGCTGTTGTTTTTGTTGTTGTATTTTTCTCAACCAAACAAACCACGACACGACGAAGACTACGACGACAACACAACAGCCCAATAATCATTACAAAAGGCGTCGTTGTTGCAAAAACAACGTTTTCACCGTACTCTCTCCCACTTGAGTTAAAGAAGAACCTACAAAAAAATAAATAAACTAAAATGATTTTAAAATAATTAAAAAAATAATAACACATTTTTGAAAACATTTTTTTATTTTTAATTAAAAATTTGTGTTTTTAAACTTTTTTTGTGAAAATATTTTTTACATATAAAAAATTAAAAAAAAAACCCCTTGAGAACAAGTTTTAAAGTGTGTGTGTGCCGTGCCGTGCAGTGCAGTGTGGATGATGTTCCAGAAAAAGTAATAAAAAAAAACAACAACAAGGACAATTTCAGTGTCTTGTCAAACCAAAAAAAAAAAAAACGTGTTTTCCTTCAAATGTGAAAAAAATCAAATCAATTGAAAAAAATATATTACTGGAAAAATTTTAAACAAAACTCTTTGAAAAAAATAAAATTGAAAATGTATTTATGTAAAATACCAAGGCAATGGTAGACGTCGAAGAAAAAAAACATGTGGTTTTTGAATCACTGCTGCCTATTAAAAATATACACATAACAAGAAGCAGCTGAGAAGGGGGAAAAGTGAATGATAATTTTTTTTGTATTTGTTTAAACAAATACATGGCAAAGCGAAAGCGCTAATACAACAACAAAAACACAATTCATCAGGCATATACTATTATAAGAACAACGTCGAACGTTTGTTCTTCGTCTTCTTCTGTGTTGTTGTTAGTGTGTGTTTAATACAAAACCAACAAAAAAATCAAAAATAATAAAATAATTTAAATGCAGATTTAAACACAGGAAAGAAAAAAATCAACACAGACTATGGATTTAAATAAGAAGTATGTATGTATATATATGTGTGTGTTTTTTAATTTTGTTATATAGAAAAAAAAAAATAAAAATTTTTCATTTTTAATATAAGCTTAGTCATAGTTAGTAGCATTCGTTAATATGTAAGCCAAGCTAATTACATTTCAGAAGAGAATGACACAAATATTGAAACAATTTTTTTTTTTAATTATTTTTTAATTGCCAGTTTTTAATTTTTTAATTCTATTAAAAATGTTTGTTTTTTCATTATAAATTTTTTTATTATTTTTCTTCAATTTTCTAACAAAAAAAATCGCCTCATAACTCTTTAAGATGAGCCACACACTACTTAGCAATTTGAAGAGAGCATACATAGTGAAACATGGAGAGAGAGAGAGTGAGTGAGTGAGCACTCTTCTCCATTACGGTTCATTTATTTTTAATAATAATCCTGCCCCCCAAGTGCGATAGATAAACAAACAAACTTCTTCAGAAGAAAACAAAAAACACACAAACAAAACAAACGGAAAAACTGCGAGATACAATACAATAGAGTTGCCATATGCCAAAGATATTAATTGTCACACATGGTCAGAGAACACCTTTTCTTTTCATAAGTGTATATAGAAAAATATATAAGTGTGTATATTGGTTGATTTTTTTAATGGAAGATCTTATAGTACATTTACATTGTATTGGATTTAGTAAATCCTGTGGATTTACATTGTTAAGTGTGGAGAAAAAAATTAATTTGTTAAAAGACTTTTTTTGTTATTTGAATTTTGCCTTGTAAGGGCAGTGATCATTTGAAAGTATTTTTTGTAGTGAGTTATTTAAATTCTTTCGAGTCGAGCTTAATGATCTAAGTTTTGCAGGGGAAGAACCTACGGTACGTAGGTTATTATGCGACGCGTTTCGTCATCAGTTAAGCGGCTCATCAGGCATATTGGGCTATGTGGCTTTGCAAAGGTCGCATGTTCTTAACTTGTATTTATTTCGCCCTGATGTGAAACTTGCATCTGACTATACAACCTGACTATACAACCTAATATCGAATAAAAGAAATTCAGCTTTTATTAAAATGTCAGCTAAGATCTTTAGTATATTCGACTTCTCAGAGAGTATTATCTTTATTTGTAGCCGTTGGGAGCCATATCTTACAGCATTTTTTCATTAAATGCGTCAGATATTTCAGCGATTTCTTTATTTCAATAGTCGGATAAAGCTATGCAATAGTTCCTGAAGATGAGATTTGGAATTAAGCGTTGGGCGCCAAATATGACTGTCATTAAAGCGAAATACCGAATTACAGACATCCAGTTTTGAATAGTCGCCAAAGAATTTCAGCATATTCGCGAATACTTGGATCATTTAGTTTGAGAACTAGCAACAGAAAGTAGCCATTGGGCGCCATATCTGACTTTCTAAAAAACTAACGAAACCCGAATTAAATAATTGCCGGGTATCATTATTTCTGAGAACTAGCAAAAGAAAGTAGCCGTTTGGGGCCATATCTATTTTCTTTAAATGCGGCAGCTTTTTCGACGGTTTATTTACTTCAAGGTTCCGATAAAGCTATACAATGATAAAATTTGGAACTAACCGTTGGGCGCCAGGCATCTGACTTAATATGTCCTTCAAATGCGGCCATTTTTGGTTATGGTTATTTGTGCGTTTTTGAAGACGTCTAATGAACATTTTGAAATATCCCTTGGGCGCCAGTTCTGGCTTGCAGTTATTTAATTGGTTTTGTTGTTCCGACGCCCCGATAATGCTATGTAATGGTCCCTGAAGATGCTTCTTTGAATAAAAATTTGGGTGCCATTTGCGGCTTCCTATTTCCATTAAATGCCGCAGTTATTTCTTTTATTTCTTGATGTCAACTGATTTGTAATGATTCCTGATGATGGTTCTTTGTGTGTGAGAATGAAAATTTTGTAGTTTACGTTGGGCGCCAGTTCCGGCTTAATACTTCCTTTAAATATGGCAGTCATTTACATGTTTTTTTAATTCCAATGGTCTGATAAGGTTCCTAAAGATGTTTCTTTGTGTGTGTTTTTAAAGCCATCGAAAGAAAATTTGGAAGAAATCGTTGGGCGCCATTTTTTTGATTTCCTATTTTCCTTAAATGTAAGAGTTTTTCCGCAATTTTTGATTCCTGAGTCCTGTATGTTTGAATCTGTTGATTAAAAATTAATTTTTGGGCGCCAAATCCGACTTCGTATTATTTTCAATGGTCTAATAAAACTTTTCTTTATTTCAAGGGTCTAATAAAACTACGTAATGATTTTCGAACATGGTTCTTTGAAGAAAGCGATTGAAAATTAGTAAGTAACTGTTGGGCTCCAGTTCTGTCTTCCAATTTTCTTCCAATGCTACAGCTCTTTTGGCGATTTTTTTATTTTAACGGTCCAATAAACCTGTGTAATGGTCGCTGAAGATAATTCCTTGTGTCTATTTCAAGGCGGTGTGTCCGTCGGTCTGACTGTTGAAATCACGATAGAATTTGCAATGTTTGGGATAGAGTTTTGACATTCCACATCGGTCCACATTATGGTATAGCTCTGAATATTCGATATTTTAGGGGATTTTTGTCACGGTTTTCATCCGAAATGCCTGTAATTTTGTACTTTTAGTTATCGTTGGATAGCAAATATTCCTACCAAAAATTATTAATACCAGTCTACTTTTTAGTATAGCCCCCCCATATAACGGTACACCCCAATATTAGGTATTGTGCGGAGTTTTGGGCAATTTTTTCAATCGAATTGGCTGGAATTTTGAGTTTTCAGTGGGTGACATATCTAGATCTACTTTTTAGCAGAGCCCATACAAAGGTATAGCCGTTAATCGGTATGTGGGAGAATTTGGGCATTGTTTTTAATCGAATTGACTGTGGTTTTGATCTCGCCAAAAACGGTCTGGATGTATTTCCTATATATAACTCCCTTCTTTTCTGCACAAATGGAAACGATATTACCTCTAAATCCGCCCAATAGAACTTGTCTCCATTTTCTGTATTTGAAAAATTAATCTCTTCCAGTATCTGCAAATATTCTTCTTTTAATCGGAATTATTTTCGATTTTCCCTATTCATGTTAAAGTCACGTGGCTGTTGGCGCACATTAAACCCTTTCATGTAATAACCCCCAATAAATCACACTATCTGGCAACCCTTTTTATTTCTGTTTCTGATTGTATACACAATGCAAATGAAAGAATGACAACTACGAAAAGTACCGCTAAAGCAAGCATTGATTGGCATCATCATCAGCACACATTTTGTTTACGCCAAACTTAACCTTTTTTCGCTCTTGCTCTCTTTAGCTTTCTGTCTATGATGAACACTCTCTCATTATAGTATTTTTGTTTGTGTGTTAATAACAAAAAACTTGTTTACATCACCATATGACACGCCAAAAAAAAAAAAAAAAAAAAAAAACAAAAACTACTCAATTTTTTTCTCTCTCCACCTGTATTTTAAAGTCAAATCTCATTCTCTCCCCCCACATTTCTTGTTAGTTGCATAGTTGTTGTTCTTGCTGCTGGGCGAAAGAGGGGGCCGCCACCGAAAGGCCAAAACCTGTATCATTCTTTATTCTCTTTGCCGCCTGCCTCGGTGTGGTGTGTAAATTGAGCACATTGCCGCTGCGTCCACTTGTCGTCGTCGTCGTTGTTGTCTTTAGAATTTTTGTTGTTGTTGTGCTTGAATTTGCTCGTAGTAATATATAGACAGAAATATTTCAGACACTATTTCGTGTTGTTGTTGTTTTTTGGTGTTCTTTACGATTTACATAAGCTGAAATTAGAACAACTACAAAAGAATAAAAAAAAACAACAGAAAACTGAAAACACGTGCGTGAACACCGAATAAAATTGAAATGCCATAAGAAAATTAAAACGTTTTCTAATCTAATCGGTATTTGGACATTAAAAAAAAAGTTTGCCGGTTTTTTATTGGATCTATAATTTGGAGGTTTTTTCTTTTGTGAAGTGGGGAGGGGAGAGGCAGATAACTGGATGATTTGTTGGTGTATGTGTGCGTTTTTTAGGAATATTTTTTATTATTAGTTTTTGGTCAGGTCTAGTTGTAGTTGTAGTTTTAGGAGGTTTATAGTTTGGTCGAATTAAAAACTATTTTGGCCAACAAAAAAAAAAAAAAAAATAAATAAATAACAAAAATATGAAAAGTGCTGAAAGAGAGGAGAGCAAAAGAGATGATAAACTATTTCAAAATTTAATTTTTTTGTTTAATAACAAATAATTATTTTTTGCATCATATAAACTGAATATGATTTAAAAGGCTTTCTTCCTATTATTAGGAATCTGTAGATCGACTTTTGACCAATTGATTAATTGACCCCATAACTGGAAAATTAACACATTTTTATATTTAGTTATTAATATTACATTTTTATTTATATATAATCATAAAAAATAAATAGTTGTACCAAGGCTTTACGTTAATTTGTCATTTAAAATATTAAAATATTTGTTTTTGATAATAAATAAATAAGAAAATAATCGTGTAAGCAACATATGATTTCCTCGCATTATTAGGAATTTATAGATCGACTTTTGACTGTTTAATTAATTCGTCCATTAAGTGGAAAATTAACACATTTTTTTATTTAATTCTATTAAAGATCACAAAAAATAAATAGTTCAACCAAATCGCCAGGTCTTTGACTTAAATAAGATTGACTAATTGATGGTAAATTGACCCAAAATGATATGCAATTTATGCATTTGTACCCTCTTTATATCCTCCACGGACTGTACCGGACTGTGCCTTGATTTATTTTTGGAAGGAAAATTTCATAAAATTTTGTCTAAACACATTCCAAAGTGGCGGCCCTTTGTCCTCTATATCCCCTCGAATTCTATATTTGATGCATTAAATCGATGTTGAGCTTTTACATCGCCCCAAAGATTAAGTCGCCGTGTCTCGTTAAAAGTTGTCGATTTTCACAATACTCCCTAGATACCAATTTTTATACCCTACACAACAATGTCGTCAGGGTATTAT